TGGGCTTGTTCAGCCTGGAGAAGAGAAGGCTGCGGGGAGACCTGATTGCGGCCTTTCAGTACTTAAAGGGGGCCGATAGGAAAGACGGGGAAAATCTTTTTAGTAGGGCCAGCAGTGACAAGACAAGGGGTAATGGTTTTAAACTAAACCAGGGTAGGTTTAGACTAGATATAAGGAAGAAGTTCTTTACAATGAGGGTGGTGAAACACTGGAACAGGTTGCCCAGAGAGGTAGTGGAGGCCCCATCCCTGGAAACATTCAAGGCCAGGTTGGACGGGTCTCTGAGCAGCCTGATCTAGTTAGCGGTGTCCCTGCTCCTGCAGGGGGGGTTGGACTAGATGACCTCTAGGGGTCCCTTCCAACCCAAAACATTCTATGATTCTATGATTCCTGGGACATCCACAGTCCCATAAGGAACATAAGTCAGTGATACCTCACCAGACTGCAAATTGCTTACAAATGGAACTGGAGTTTCAGGCGAAGAGGAACTGGAGCAAGAACTGGCACAAACAGTAAATTATGGATCCCTACCCAAAGGCCTTTGATGCGTACATACTATCCATTTCTGTTCTAGAGCTGATGGTTCCCACGCCAGTATATCCTGACCTTACCCAGTGACTAAGTTACTGAAGGGTTTTAAAACTTCTTTCTAATGAATGCAAACTCTTCAGCTATGTAACATTCACAGAATCCTTTGAGTTTTACTCACCATTCCTATGCAGAAGAGGATGAATAAGAGCAGCCATGGTACATCTGTGCAGCTGTGGTCCTCCAGAGGCTTCCATTCTCGCTTGGAGCTCTTATGTGAGAAGAGAGAGATGGGGTTAACAACACTTTTTTGTCTTCTGCTTGTAACAGAAAGAGGCAGAAAACTATTCCCAAGGGCATTAGTATACAGCAGGAGTCATCTTTCTGATATAGCTGAAGCAGCTTGGCCAAAAAACTTAGTAAGGCTTATGAAAGACACTTCAAAAGTAGTGCCTCCACTGGAAGCTAGATCGACAAAGAATTATTTATCAAGAAAAGAGGTAATTTACCCAGGAATTTACAGCTATTTATCCACAAAGCAGGTTATTTTAACTTATTTTTTTATGAACAGAAAACAGAAGCTAATGGCATGGAATCAACAATATCTGCCATTGCAGTCTTCCACAGCTACCTTCCAGTAACCTGCTTTCCAAGAAGGATAAAAGGTTAAACTTTTCAAAAGCTCCTAAGTTTTAAAACACTATTGGCAGGTTTAACAAGTACAGTGCATGTAGAAAGGAGGTAATAAATTGCTGTTAAAGGAACAGTTCTCTACCTGCCAAGAGGCAGCTGAGCTTCACATTTCAGCAAAGAAATCCCTAGTCAGTATTGCCCAGGTGCCCGAAAGGAAAGTCATGTGCTTAAAGGTTGAAATACTCAGTGATGGAGGCTCTGTTGCAAAGTATAAAGAGGCAGTTGTAAGCAATTCAAATAGTTTCCCTCTCATGAGGTAAAATTTCTCAAGTGTGTATACACTGCTAAGATAATTAAAGTCTGTTAAAAACAGTCATTTTGCCATCCAGGCAAAATGCTTTTAAGAAAAGAATGATTTTAAGGAAAGAATGAGCATTGGCTGTAGCACAAAACTAACCACCACATGAGAATTTATTGTAACAAACACATGAGTTATATCTACGTTTAAAAATACAGTTACAAAGACAACCTTTTTCAATTAGTTCCCAGACACTAACTGTTCATATATATCTACTAAGACCCAAAAAGTGCACACAGTGTTTTCATACTTGAGGAAGAAAAGGAGATTAATATAGGGAGAATACAATACAACCCTCTCCAGAGACAGAGCAAAAAGGGTAACCTATTCAAATTTTGAATTTATTTTTCATCTCAAGACTCTGAAGCATCTTCAAGACTTTGTTGACCAGGTAGCAAATGTTAGTACTGGATTAAAACAGAATGGGTGGATGAAATGTCAACAGCTTTTATCTCCAGTATGTATTTTTGCAGATTTTCATCAAAAAAAGTTATAGCATGCAACTCATGATATTACCAAGGTGGCTTTTTGGTATGCGTGACTTTGGGTTTTGCTAATTCACAAGCACAAAGCAACCTTTTCAAATACTACCATTAGATAACTACAAACTGGGTAGAATATAAATGAAAACCTGCATGCACCATGCTTCAAAAAGCACAGTCTTTTAAGTAGTCTGGCTTTGCATTAGGGAGCTCCATGCTACTTTTGCAATCCTGTATTAAAAAAGTTCCACTTGCAGATGATTTATATATTTTTATATTTTATGATTTATATATTTTTAATTCAAATGGTGCAAACTGACTCTGAGTTCTGGACAGCCAAACTTCTTTTTATTTTACTCAATAAACAGTACAGTGAGGTGCTAAAAGGTCACATTATGCACTCTACTACACTCATTCAACAAAACTGTCTTCTGATCCTGGCAGTTCACACTTAAGAACAGCACACTATTCAAAGATAACACTTACAAAAAGATTGTGACATTGATAGTTATAATTACCATAATCGTAATTGCATAAAATGTGTAAAGCTTTATGCTGCTTATTCCTATATCCACTCCACCAACTCTGGATTCTTTAGAAATTTACCTTTATTTACAAACAGCAGATAAATTTCAGCTACTGCTGCACCTTAATAGTCAGCTGCCCTTGACAAAAGACGAAGCAGTAAGATGCACTGCATAGTGTGGTTTGTTTGTTTTGTTGGGGTTTTTTTATCCTCTCTGTACCATCTGCAAACAAAATCTTTTAATAGGATTTTTAAAAGCCAGTGGACATCCTCTGGAATAGCTCTGGCAAAGATTTAGGTTGTCTGACTAGTCACAGTTACCATCAGTAATCCTTTTTATTTACTAAGTGGACTGCAGTTTGTATGTGAAAAAGAAACTTGAAATGCCATGGTGTAGCACTTAGTTAGAAGGTGTCACAGAGGAATTAATTCTGTGCCCATAGCCTTTACTCTGCTCCAAACCATAAATTTTTAAAAAAAAATAAGAAAGAAGGTATTTCAAACAAAAAGTACCCTGGGAGGTAACTCAAAAGGCACTAGATACTTACCAGCCTTCAATTTAACCTCCTAGCATACTAACATGGTATGAAATGATACATTTTTAGAACAACAGCCTTCTCCAGTAGCCTATCCAATCTTTCTTCTCTCCCAACCTTGCTGCAACCCAGGCTGGCTGCCTTTATTTATCTGCTGTTTTCTTCTCTGTTGCTTCCTTGTATTCTGGATTCCCACTGAATTTTCTTCCATAGCTTCACAGCCCTTCATCCTCATCTTTTATGTTGGTATCCGTGTCTCTCTAGTGACTACTCCCTGTCCCCTCTACATGCTTAGACGTTTACTCAGACCATGGTATTCATGCCTGGGCAACACAAATTGCTAATCTGTGGTCAACATAAGGTCTAACAAATGTTGTTTGTCCTGCAGTCTGGAAACTATGCTTTGTCTCCGTTGTACTGAAATACCATAAAATTTTAGCAGATATGCTTTGCCTGCAATCCCAAATCAGCAATTCTACTGATTTCAGCCTTTCCTCTAGACAGATTAAGAGCCTTCAGTATTTCCTGATGCAAGATATCTAGATAGATAACCTAGAGGAAAAAGACTTTTGGAAATCACTCGATTCATTTAAAGTTTTCTCTTATAACAGAGCTTTCACAATTTAGGCTATGCTCTCTACAGATATTCTTGCACTTAACAAAGCACAGGACTACCTGTGCACCGTTATGACAGCATGGAGAATAAGAAACACTACCTGTCAAGAGTGGAAAGCAGGCAAAATAGCCTATCTCTCCAAGACAGACTTGGAGGTTGGGAACACTTTTCCTGCCCATAACAGCTCTTCTGTGCTGATTTTGAGAGTTATTTACTGAAGAACCCAAATGAGTGTCGTTCAGAAATTTACATCTGTCCATTTTGCAGAAGACTTAGCAAACTCAATGCTTCTCAAAAACAAATCAGAACTGTTGGGCACAGCACAATTTTACAATTCCATCTTAATTCCACATCTAGAAAGTTGGATGTCTGAAGTTAGGCTTTCTCTTGTAGAAGAGAAGCATGAAGAATGCCAGAACATCAGTTGTTGGCTTTCCTAGTTGAATCCAGAGCTCGAGAGAGCAGGTACTTGTATGCAAACGCAAAATAAAGACGGGCTGTTTTCTTGGCATTCATTGCACCCAATCACTTCAGAACAAACATAGAACCAGCCCCCTCCAGATTTCTTTCTCCCTGTCACTTCCAAACTATACCTCTGCAGCACCAAGTAGCAGGTCTGAATTTATCTCTTCTGCATACTGTAATACACTTCTTCACAGGTATCAGCATAGCACAAAACCAATGATTACCACTTTTGCTGTTAACTGTAACAGCTGTACTGGGTGCTACCACACAAGCACTCACCTGCCCCCACCAGAGCGCAACACACACCTAAGAGCTCAGAAAAGTGTAAAAACATGGCATGTCAGCAGGAGACTACAGGTGCAAGGAGTTACAGAGAATTTTTTTAAACACAAAATGTCTCATGCAATGTACAATTTGGGAGCGATGTGGCTGAAGCAAGAAGCCAAGAACATCTGCAGTATTATATGTATGGATAATCAAGCTGTGCGTAAGTAGCAAAGATATGAATAAGATCAGGATAAAGACGGAATTTGCCATCAACAGAGGATGTTGCAACATCATGAGAAAGGCATCAGCAGAAAGAAATCCTAAAATCTTGTGGTGGTCAGACTATGTTTCAGGAAGAAGAAAATGAAGCTACTGCTGAGACAGATGGGCTGAGTTAAGGACAACCCAGTGAATAACTAGCACGAGTAAAATCCACTGGACGAAAAGAAGACATGGGGAGAAGTTAGACTCTAGGCTTTACTTTGGCTAGTGAGTTTAAGCTAGCAACTGGAGAGTATAGGACTATTCTGATTTGCATACGAACACACAGGTTGTAAAAACAGTCATAGCTTCATTCGTGTAATGACAAAAAATAAAACCAAACCAGAATAAACAAATACAACCCTCACATTTTTCAGCCCCAAATGAGTCTCAAAAGAGACCCAGGACAAAGGATGACCCATCAAAATCCTATAGGAAGATTCATTAGTCATGAGGAAGACCAGTGTTCCAAACTGCTAATCTAACTCCAGGAATACCATACACAGTGTTAAGAAAGCCGAGAGAAGACAAAATTTTAAAGCACTGTCCACAACCAGCAAAGCCAAATGGAGTTAAACTTCATGAGATACCAGTTACATGAGCTATGCCATTCTGCCACAAGGAAAGGCTTCCAAATGCAGGTGCTCTGAACTCCTGGAAGGTCCGCATCCAGGACAAATTGTTCATTACCCCTACTTTCAAGTAATGCTAGATAAAACCTTACATGCAGATGAAAGATAGTGACCCAATATTATTCTACTTCAGCATTTGGGTTAAATCAGTTCCACTTCAAGTCAAAAATAACAGAAAATAAGACACAGAAGTTGGAAGTTTTTAAACAGAGATGTGCACAATTCATTTTGACATTCCTTCTTAAAAAGCAATACATTCTTTTGGTTATTTTCTTTTTTTCTTTGAACCTGGTTCTAACACAAGACGAAGATGCTGCAAAACATCCAGTTTTGTATTTGCAGGCATTGAGAATAAGCTTGCTTATTTTCTACGCTTAGAAACAGCCATGTTTTTTCTCTCAAATACTGAATAGAAGACATGGCATTTTGATTCATTCATCTAAACAATCAAGCCTAGGTTTACCATTTTCTTCAGATCCTAGCATACTCGGGCAC